ATATTCTTAGGAAACAGTCAGCTGGTAGAACCCGGGTCATGACCAAACAGGGTGAAGCTGCTTTTAGCTACTATTCTGCTCAATGATTAAATCAGCTTCCTCAAGATCTCAAATGTACCCCAACTCTAGTAACTTTTAAATCAGAATTGAAAATCTTCATGTATTCATCAGCCTCTGAATGACTGTTCTCATGCTGCACCTTCTGCACTGTATTTGCTCACCCTGTATCTGTAAATTTGTTTCTTTTTACGTTTTAAATTGTATTTTCTGTCACGTTGATTTTAATGTTCTTGCTATTCTTGCTAATGGAAAGCACATTGAATTGCCTCTGTGTATGAAATGTGCTATATAAATAAAGCTGCCTTGCTTTTTGTTGAGCTGAGCTCGATCAGCATTCAGATCAGCTGATCCACGGGTCTATCCCACCGTGGTGCACACCGGCACGAAGCGAAAGAGAGGGGGAGAGGAGCTGCTGTCAGACTAAACCTTTTTAATAAATGGGAGAAACAACTAAAACTGCTGAGGGAAATTTGTTCAAACAAAATCACATTAGATGAAAATTTAGCGAACAGCATTTAAGGGAATTAGCGTTAATGAGCTGTTGATGCAGATACAACTTTACTGCCGCCCAGCATATTTTACTGATGAGGTTTTTCTGTTTAAAGTCTGACTCCTTAAGCCCAAAATGGTTCTGCATTTCTGACACTACCCCGTCTTCTTTACAAGCCCATTTTCATCCACTCGCACCACATAGCACCGCAGTTGCTGTAGCAACTTCCGTATGGCTTCAAAGAGTTTCTGGTCCACCCTCCGGTCTTAGCTTTTCAGAAAATGTAAGTCTGACAAAAAAAGCAATAACGAACCAAATCTGTAGGCAGGCAAATAATTTTTCAGAGCACCATTTAGGACAGGTATCAACTTCTACTTTTATTATTTTTGTCACACCCTGTCCTGTCTCCCCGTTTGGTTCAGCCATGTGTCTCTGTTAATTGCTCCCACCTGCCTCTCATTTTCCAATCACCCAAGCTCCCAGCCCTCTTGTGTTTAAACCCCTTCAGTTCTGTGTCTCATGTTGGATCATTGTTTCAGTGTCAGCTTGTTTATTATTAAAGCCTTTAACTGTTCATGTCTGATTGCCTACCTTTGTCACCCGAGTGTGGATCCTCACCTCCGCTTCACACTCCAGCACGCCTGACAGAATGATCCAAACCCCTAAAGGATCCAGCGGGGAGATTCTCCCCTGGGAGTGCCTGCTCCAATTCTTCTCCTCGGCCCACCGGCCGGCTTCTCCTCCTCCGGCGTCGCCTCGCCGCAGACGGCGTCACCGAACTTCACCCTCGGCGATCCTCTCCACCCTTCCGGAGCCAGATAAGAGGTTTGACCAGGAGACGCTGCCAGACCGCTCCTGCTACGTGGGCACCAGACTGGCTGTGTGCTCCCCCGGAGTTGGCCCACGGCGTGGGCAAGGATGCCGGGCTCCACCGCAATCCTGTGTCCCAGGACGGAGCCGCGAGCTCGGCGCTGCCCCGGCTCGGCGCACCAGGTTGGGCCCGCCCCCAGTCAGACCAGCAGTCCCGCCTCCGATCCAATCAGCGCCTCCGTCATCTGCAGGCGGAGGAACCACGCCTACAGCCCAGCTGACAGAGCTCGCCAGTCTCCAGGCGGAGCTTGGCCAGATCCGTCAGCTCGTCAGCCTCCAGGAGTTCCAGCCGGACACCCTATCCTCCCCGCATCACCAGGAGAAGGTGTCGGTCCAGTCAGCAGCTCCCTCGTCACAGGACCAAAGGATCGAGCCTGCAGTCCACCCAGCAGAGCTCGCCGGTCTCCGAGCTGAGCTGGCCCAACTCCATCAGAGCCTCAGTCTCCAGGAGCTCCAGCTGGACACTTTATCCTCCCTGCTCTCCCAGTTTCTAGCACCACCAGTTCAGTCAGCTCCTGTCCCAGCGGTGGCCCCGGAGGTCGCACCGCATCCAGTTCCAGCGGTGGTCCCGGAGGTCGCACCGCATCCTGTTCCAGCGGTGGTCCCGGAGGTCGCACCACATCCAGTTCCCGTGGTGGTCCCGGAGGTTGCACCGCATCCTGTTCCAGCGGTGGTCCCGGAGGTCGCACCGCATCCAGTCCAGTCTGTCCAAGCGGTCCCATCTGCAGCAACTCCTCCTCCACTCCTGAAGCCGACGGTCCAGAGGCCGGCGGTCCAGAAGCCGGCGGTCCAGGAGCCGATGGTCCAGAAGCCGACGGACCAGAAGTCGACGCCCCCGGACCAGAAGCCGACGGTCCAGAAGCCGACGCTCCCGGACCAGAAGCCGACACTCCCGGACCAGAAGCCGATGCTCCCGGACCAGAAGTCGACGCTCCCGGACCAGAAGTCGACGCCCCCGGACCAGGAGTCAAAGTCGACGGTCCAGAAGTCGACGCACTTGGACCAGAAGTCGACGCCTCCGGGCCAGAAATCGACGCCCCCAGGCCAGAAGTCGATGGAGGTCTACGTCCCCAGTCCTGAAGTCGACGCCCCTTCCAGTCCTGTGGTCGACGCCTCTTCCAGTCCTGTGGTCGACACCTCGTCCAGTCCTGTGGTCGACGCCTTTTCCAGTGTTGTGGTCGACGCCTCTTCCAGTCCTGTGTTCGACGCCTCCTCGTGTTCCGAAGTCGACACCTCCTCATGTTCCGAAGTCGACACCTCCTCGTGTTCTGAAGTCGATGCCTCCTCGTGTTCTGAAGTCGACGCCTCCTCGTGTTCTGAAGTCGACGCCTCCTCGTGTTCTGAAGTCGACGCCTCCTCGTCTCATCCACTCCAGAGGTCGACGCTCCCTCGTTTCCAGAGGTCGACGCTGCCTCGTGTCCAGAGGTCGACGCTCCCTCGTGTCTAGAGGTCGACGCTCCCTCGTGTCTAGAGGTCGACGCTCCCTAGTGTCCAGAGGTCGACGCTCCCTCATGTCCAGAGGTTGACGCTCCTTCGTGTCCAGAGGTCGACGCCTCCTCTTGTTCTGATGTCGACGTCTCCTCGTGTCCTGAAGTCGACGCCTCATCCACTCCAGAGGTCGATGCCTCATCCACTCCAGAGGTCGACGCCTCATCCACTCCAGAGATCGACGCTCCCTCGTGTCCAGAGGTCGACGCACCCTCATGTCCAGAGGTCGACGCTCCCTCCAGTCCAGAGGTCGACGCGCCCTCCAGTCCAGAGCTCGACTCCGTCTCCAGTCCAATGACCCCATTTCCAGTCCAGTGGTCGACGCCGTCTCCAGTCCCGTGGTCGACGCCGTCTCCAGTCCAGTGGTCGACTCCGTCTCCAGTCCAGTGGTCGACGCCATCTCCTCCAGTCCAGGGGTCGACGCTGTCTCCAGTCCAGTGGTCGATGCCGTCTCCAGTCCCGTGGTCGACGCCGTCTCCAGTCCCGTGGTCGACGCCGTCTCCAGTCCCGTGGTCGACGCCGTCTCCAGTCCAGTGGTCGACGCCGTCTCCTCCAGCCCAGTGGTCGACGCCATCTCCTCCAGTCCAGTGGTCGACGCCGTATCCAGCCCAGTGGCCGACGCCGTCTCCAGTCCAGTGGTCGACGCCGTCTCCAGTCCCGTGGTCGATGCCGTCTCCAGTCCCGTGGTCGACGCCATCTCCAGTCCAGTGGTCGACGCCGTCTCCAGTCCAGTGGTCGACGCCGTCTCCTCCAGCCCAGTGGTCGACGCCATCTCCTCCAGTCCAGTGGTCGATGCCGTCTCCAGTCCCGTGGTCGACGCCGTCTCCAGTCCAGTGGTCGACGCCATCTCCTCCAGTCCAGGGGTCGACGCTGTCTCCAGTCCAGTGGTCGATGCCGTCTCCAGTCCTGTGGTCGACGCCGTCTCCAGTCCTGTGGTCGATGCAGTCTCCAGTCCCGTGGTCGACGCCGTCTCCAGTCCAGTGGTCGACGCCGTCTCCTCCAGTCCAGGGGTTGACGCCTTCTCCTCAGTCCAGTGGTCGACGCCGTCTCCTCCAGTCCAGAGGTCGACGCCGTCTCCTCCAGTCCAGGGGTCGACGCCGTCTCCTCTGGTCCAGAGGTCGACGCCGCCTCCGGCCCAGAGGTTGACGCCGCCTCCGGCCCAGAGGTTGATGCTGCCGCCTCCAGTCCACAAGTCAAGGACATCTCCTCCAGCGTCTCTGCCTCCGGTCACCGCCGGTCCCGCCCTCGCCAGACGCAGGTCCCCAGGAGCTCGTCGTCGCCTCCTCCTCTGCCGCAGACGCAGGCCCCCAAGAGCCCGTCGTCGCCTCCTCCTCCTCTGCCGCAGACGCAGGCCCCCAAGAACCCGTCGTCACCTCCTCCTCTGCCGCAGACACAGGCCCCCAAGAGCCCGTCGTCGCCTCCTCCTCTGCCGCAGACGCAGGCCCCTAAGAGCCCGTCGTCACCTCCTCCTCTGCCCCAGACGCAGGCCCCCGGACTCTACTGGTCCCTGCCTCCTCTCCATCGGTCCCTTTTGGCCCTTCCTCCGGGTCCCCCTCCTCCCACCCTGCTCCGTGTACCTGTGGGCGCCTGGAATCCGCCCTTTGAGAGGGGGGGGGGGGGGGGGGGGTACTGTCACACCCTGTCCTGTCTCCCCGTTTGGTTCAGCCATGTGTCTCTGTTAATTGCTCCCACCTGCCTCTCGTTTTCCAAGCTCCCAGCCCTCTTGTATTTAAACCCCTTCAGTTCTGTATCTCGTGTTGGATCATTGTTTCAGTGTCAGCTTGTTTATTATTAAAGCCTTTAACCGTTCATGTCTGATTGCCTACCTTCTTCACCCGTGTGTGGATCCTCACCTCCGCTTCACACTAGCATGCCTGACAATTTTCATATGTTTCTATCTCTGCCTATCATTCAGATATTTAGCCATTATGTAATTTGTGGAAGAGAGCAACAATATCTGCTGAGCATAACGTTATAACTAGTTTGTGACTTTTTTCACTGCCGCTTGAGGAACATGTTTGATACTAAGAGACCTGGAAGGTGACGTTCTCTGAACTAACTGAAACTTATGTTTGTTTGTTTGTTTTTTCAGATTTCTGCCAGGTGGAGCTGCGTCTGCTGGCTCACTTCTCCTCTGACTCTGAGCTGCTTCGCATCTTTACCAACCCACAGGCTGACGTCTTCACCATTCTGGCATCTCAGTGGTGTGTCTCCCTCTCTCCCACACACACACACACGCACGCACGCATGCACACACACACACACACACACACACACACACACACACACACACACACACACACTCATCTGTCTGCCAAGGTGACTACTGATGCTCCATAGGGCGTCTCTTTCCTCTCTGGCTCCTTGTCTCACGACTGCCAGCTTCTTTACTTCAAACACTAATAATCTTGTTGCCATGACTACCAGCTGACTCATTTGGTTTCCTTTCAATGTCCAGGACACCCCTGGGATGCTATTCCTTGGTGATTACATTGTTTTGTTGTTGAAGTATTTTTGTGTTTGGCTACATGTGGCTTTCCTCTGCAGTCTTTCAGCCATATTGTGGGTGTGTTGCATCTACACCCAGGTGTTTTATCATTTTTATTATGTGAGTGTAAAACCTGCATTTTGTCAGATTTCCTCAGTAACAGCCCTAATCAGACATTAAAGTGTCTATATATGATATATCTTTCTCTTTTAGACAAATAATCCAGTTTCTGCATAAATAATTTATTTCAGTCACTATTTTTGTTCTGTCTTCTCCTTTTATTCTTTTAGTTCTTATTGTTTTGATCAGTCTTTACTTCTCTAGATCTTCTTGATTCAATCAAAGCCTTTCTCTCTCCAGTGAACCCTCACCAGATAATTTCTCATTCAAATTTTGCTGAAGAAGACAAAATTAGTTTATGTTGTACAAACATTTTATATCTTTGCAAATTAAAAGAAGAAGAAGAAAATATCATTTCGTGATAAAAATCACGAGGCGCTTCACAAAAACAAAAAATGTAAAAATATAAAAAAGCATTTAGAAAAACTTTAAAAATATATTTAAAATGAGCTAAAATAGACAGTTGTGATTAAAAAATGTTAAGAAAGAGAGAGAGTGAATAGGAAAGAGGGAAATCAGTGGATCCTGAGGAAGGTGGGATAGGTGGGGAGAGCAGAATAAAGAGAGAGTGGTGATGAAGGTCACACCAAAGCCAGCTTGAACAGGTGAGTCTTCAGCTGCTTTTTGAAGGAGTTCACTGAGTCCACTGATCTCAGGCTCAGGGGGAGAGAGCTCCAGAGTCTGGGAGCCACAGCAGCAAATGATCTGTCACCTTTGGTCTTTAGCCTGGTGCGCTGCACAACCTGTAGGCTTTGATCACTGGACCTCAGGGACCTGCTGGGGGTGTAGGGACTAAGAAGATCACCTATGTATGATGGTGCTTGTCCATGTAAGGCCCTATAGACCAGAACCAGGATCTTGAAATGAACCCTGAAGTTGACTGGCAGCCAGTGAAGCTGGAGGAGAAGCAGGGTGATGTGGGTGTGTTTGGAGGACTTGGTCAGAAGCCGAGCACAGGCATTCTGAACCACCTGTAGACGGTTAAGGGAGGTTCTGCTCAGACACGTGAAAAGAGAGTTACAGTAGTCTAAGCGTGAGGAGATGAAGGTGTTGAGAACTGTCTCAAGTTCAGAGCGGGACAGAATGGGACTCAGCTTAGCAATGTTCCTGAGATGGAAGAAGGAAGAGCGAACAAGAGAACTGACATGAGAATCCAGGGTGAGAGGTGGGTCAAAGGTCCCACCAAGATTCCTGACAGAAGGTTTGGTGTGGGAAGCAAGCTGACCAAGAGAGTCTCTGACTTTGGGAACCAGCTTGTCTGGGGCACAGATGAGGATCTCAGTCTTATCTTCATTCAGCTGTAGAAAGTTCCCACCATCCAGGTTTTGATAGAGTCTAAGCAGGTGTGGAACAGCTGCAGCTTAGACATCTCATGGGGCTTTAAGGAGAGTACGGTTGGATGTAATCTGCATAAAGATGGTAGGAAATTCCTTTGAAGGAGCTCAGGATGTGCTGAAGAGGAAGCAGATAGAGGAGGAAGAGCAGAGGCCCCAGCACAGAACCTTGTGGGACACCATGGGTAAGAGAGGTGCTGGAGGACCTAAACTTGGAGACGGCCACAGAAAAGGAGCGCTCAGAAAGATAAGAGGAGAACCACTCCAGAGCAGATCCTGATAGGCCTACCCAGTCTCTCAGCCTCTCCAGTAGCAGGTGATGGTCAACAGTGTCAAAGGCTGCAGTCAGGTCCAGCAGGACCAGAACAGAACAGTCCCCTGCATCACTGTGAGTCAGAAGGTCATTAGAGACCCTAAGAAGAGCTGTTTCAGTAGAATGAGCTCTATGAAAACCTGACTGGAAGCTATCATAGATGTAATGTTCATCAAGAGCAGCTGTGAGTTGTTTAGCCACAACCTTTTCCAAGATCTTGGAGATGAACTGAAGTTTAGAGATGGGTCTGAAGCTGCTATGGAGAGAGGGGTCTCCCCAAAAGTGCATGCTTTTTTTTAGGCATTCCCTTCTTTGAAGCACAGCAGATGGCAATCCAGGTTGGATCTGAGCTTGTGAATGAATCCAATAATTCATATTTATGCACTGCTGAACGGATAAATGTGTTTCTGGTGTCTGAAACTGTTTTTGGTGTTGTCACTGTGTCATTCTGGGGTGTTCTTCAGACACTCACGTAACTTAAAAGTGTTTCCATGTGTGTCAGAGGGAACTTTGTGTCAACAGTGGCAGCAGCAGCATCCCACAGGCCCCTCATGATGATTCACTTTGTAGACAAGTCAACCCCCTCCAAGTGATCCGCACTACGCCTGTCTGCGAGTCACATTTCATAACTGTCACTGTCTGGCTGTCTATGTCTCTTATCTCCTGATTTCTCTTTTTAGTTCTTCTGTCTCTATACTGCATGTCCCATTTATGCCCTATGGTGTACATTTAGCCTTTTTCTGTTAAGTTTTTGTGCCCTCTCTAGTTTCCTCTTTGCTTTTATTAGTCTGCAACACTTTTATCTACTTAGTTTTCAAATTGTTTTATATTATTCAAATACACTGCATCCACTGCTAAACACCCAGAAGATAACAGAGGTTGTTGTGGACTTTAGAAAGCACACAGCTCCCCCTCCCCCCATAACCCTGTCCGACACTCCTATCACGATGGTGTACTCATGTCGCTTCCTGGGTACCACCATCACCCAAGACCTCAAGTGGGAGCCCACCATCACCTCTGTAGTGCAAAAGGCCGAGCAGAGGATGTTGTTCCTGAGGCAGATGAAGAAATTCAACCTGCCAGTACAGTCGATGAGGCAGTTCTACACCGCAGTCATCGAGTCCATCCTCACCTCCTCAATCACTGTGTGGTATGCTGGAGCTACCACCAGGGACAAGAAGAGGCTGCAGCGTGTCGTACACTCTGCTGAGAAGGTCATTGGCTGCAAACCCCCCTCCATACAGGACCTGTACACCTCCAGGACATTGAGGCATGGAGGTTGGATAACAGCTGACCCGTGTCACCCTGGACACAGTCTCTTTGACTCGCACCCATCTGGCAGGAGGCTCAGATCCATTTGGACCAGAACCTCTTACCACAAGTTTCTTACCCTCTGCTGTTGGACTCATGAACGACAATCCTAGGGCTGCCCACTCCAGTTGCTTGGTCCCAGTCACATGACCATGTGTTGTGTTTGTACCTGAACTGATCCGCTCTGATTAGTACGCTGTCACGTATATAGTAAGTAAGTAAATTTTATTTATATGGCACTTATCACAGACATAGAATCACACAGTGCTTCACATAGATCAAAACAAAATAAAACTAAGTCACAAAATCATAAAAAGATTAATATCATAAAATCAAAATATTCTCAAAACAGAAATAGGTTAACATCAGAAAAATAAAGTCATAAAATTATACAATTTCATAATCAGATGAAATATTAGAAATTTGAGTTAAAAATAAGAAAATAAAATATTTAGGTAAAAGCAGCTTTAAATAAAAGGGTCTTTAGCTGATTTTTAAAAGTGTCTAGACTGTCAATGCTACGTAAGGATAAAGGAAGATCATTCCAAAGTCGGGGTGCAACAGTCTGGAAGGAACGATCGCCTCGACTTTTGTATCTGGTCTTAGGAACTTCTAGAAGGTTCTGGTGGGTGGATCTGAGGGCTCGGGTTGGAGCATAAGGCTTTAACATTTCAGTAATATAGGGAGGAGCTTGACCATGTAGAGCCCTGAAAGTAATAGTCCGGATTCTAAAATGAATTCTAAAGTTAACGGGTAACCAGTGCAGAGACGTCAGAATAGGAGTGATGTGTGCTCTTCTGTTTGCTCCAGTTAGGAGCCTTGCTGCAGAGTTCTGGACCAACTGAAGGCGGTCAAGGAATTTTTTGTTAAAACATGTGAAGAGTGTGTTGCAGCAATCTAGACGGGAGGAGATAAAGGCATGGGTCACCATTTCAAGTTCATGTTTTGACACCAACCTTCGCAGTTTGGAGATATTTCTTAAATGATAAATATATAATTATATAGCAGCCATTTCTCTAAGTATTGCCACTTTATATTATTATTTTATCATGATTATATTCTTACTTTCTATATTTTCTTATATCTTATTTTTATCTTCCTTTTTTACACGAAGTACCGCACCAATTTCCTAATGTTGTGATTCTCGCACATATGGCAATAAAACCCTTCTGATTCTGATTCAACAGCTTATATAACTTTTAGATTTTTTTCCCAGACATAGAAATGAGAATGTTGAATTGTTGTTGAATGTTGCAGTTAAAGAGAAATGTGGTCACACAAACTGAAAGTTCGATGCATAAAATCTAGAAATATGTTCCCCAAAAATGTTACAATAAAACAAACCAAAAACACTGTTAGGTTTCCGTCAGATTAAGCTAACTAATTAACACTGCTGCTGCAGAGAATGGTTAAAAAGCTGCATGTGATGCTCATTTCTTTAGAAGATGACTGTTTATTTTTCTGTGTCACTCAGGAAAGGGAAGAGCATTGGTGATGTTTCTTCTGAAGACAGGGAACACGCCAAACGCATCGTGTACTCTGTGGTTTATGGAGCAGGTGAGCAAATATGGAAGGTTGTTCCTGCTTGGTTGTTGCTTTTTTTTTTTTTTTTTTTTTTGCCAAAACACACTGTTACAACAATTATTCTCCCGTTATACTATATATATATATATATATATATATATATATATATATATATATATATATATATATATATATATATATATATATATATATGTATGTATATACAGGGAGTGCAGAATTATTAGGCAAATGAGTATTTTGTCCACATCATTCTCTTCATGCATGTTGTCTTACTCCACGCTATATGGGCTCGAAAGCCTACTACCAATTAAGCATATTAGGTGATGTGCGTCTCTGTAATCAGAAGGGGTGTGGTCTAATGACATCAACACAATATATCAGGTGTGCATAATTATTAGGCAACTTCCTTTCCTTTGGCAAAATGGGTCAAAAGAAGGACTTGACAGGCTCAGAAAGGTCAAAAATAGTGAGATATCTTGCAGAGGGATGCAGCAGTCTTAAAATTGCAAAGCTTCTGAAGCGTGATCATCGAACAATCAAGCGTTTCATTCAAAATAGTCAACAGGGTCGTAAGAAGCGTGTGGACAATCCAAGGCGCAAAATAATTGCCCATGAACTGAGAAACGTCAAGCGTGCAGCTGCCAAGATGCCACTTGCCACCAGTTTGTCCATATTTCAGAGCTGCAACATTACTGGAGTGCCCAAAAGCACAAGGTGTGCAATACTCAGAGACATGGCCAACGTAAGAAAGGCTGAAAGACAACCACCACTGAACAAGACACACAAGCTGAAACGTCAAGACTGGGCCAAGAAATATCTCAAGACTGATTTATCTAAGGTTTTATGGACTGATGAAATGAGAGTGAGTCTTGATGGACCAGATGGATGGGCCCGTGGCTGGATTGGTAAAGGGCAGAGAGCTCCAGTCCGACTCAGACGCCAGCAAGGTGGAGGTGGAGTACTGGTTTGGGCTGGTATCATCAAAGATGAGCTTGTGGGGCCTTTTCGGGTTGAGGATGGAGTCAAGCTCAACTCCCAGTCCTACTGCCAGTTTCTGGAAGACACCTTCTTCAAGCAGTGGTACAGGAAGAAGTCTGCATCCTTCAAGAAAAACATGATTTTCATGCAGTACAATGCTCCATCACATGCGTCCAAGTACTTCACAGCGTGGCTGGCAAGAAAGGGTATAAAAGAAGAAAAACTAATGGCATGGCCTCCTTGTTCACCTGATCTGAGCCTCATTGAGAACCTGTGGTCCATCATCAAATGTGAGATTTACAAGGAGGGAAAACAGTACACCTTTCTGAACAGTGTCTGAGAGGCTGTGGTTGCTGCTGCACGCAATGTTGATGGTGATCAGATCAAAACACTGACAGAATCCATGGATGGCAGGCTTTTGAGTGTCCTTGCAAAGAAAAGTTAAAAAAGTTAAAGTCCCATTAGTTGTCACACACACAGGTGTGTGTGCGAAATTTATTCTCCGCATTTGACCCATCCCCTGGGGGAGCGGTGAGCTGCAGACAAGCCGCACTCGGGAACTATTTGGTGGTTTAACCCCCCAATCCAACCCCTTAATGCTGAGTGTCAAGCAGGGAGGCATTGGGTCCCATTTTTTCAAAGTCTTTGGTATGACCCGACCAGGAATCGAACCCCTGATCTCCCAGTCTCAGGGAGGACACTCTACCACTAGGCCACTGACGCCTGGGCATGGCTGAAAGGTGGCCATATTGGTCGCTGATTTGTTTTTGTATTGTTTTTGAATGTCAGAAATTTATATTTGGGAATGTGGAGATGTTATATTGGTTTCACTGGTAAAAATAAATAATTGAAATGGGTATATATTTGTTTTTTGTTAAGTTGCCTAAAAATTATGCACAGTAATAGTCACCTGCACACACAGATATCCCCCTAAAATAGCTAAAACTAAAAACTACTTCCAAAAACATTCAGCTTTGATATTAATGAGTCTTTTGTAAAGTGACCTTGGGTGTCCTGAAAGGCGCTTTGAAATAAAATGTATTATTATTATTATTATCTTTTGGGTTCATTGAGAACATGGTTGTTGTTCAATAATAAAATTATTTCTCAAAAATACAACTTGCCTAATAATTCTGCACTCCCTGTATATATACAGCTCAGGTCCTCTACCTGGGGGCTTGAGGGTTCTGCAGTATCTTAGCTGTTCCTAGATCTGCACTTTTCTGGACTGAGATGTGTGATGTTTTTCCTGGGATCTGCTTTAGCCGCTCCTCCAGTTTGGGGGTTACTGCCCCGATGACCATGAGCATCACCGATATCTTCAATCTCCAGGCTTTCTCAAGTTCTTCCAAAAGGCCCTGGTGCTTCGCTAGTTTCTCAAGTTCCTTTTTTCTGATGTTGCATCACTTGGTATCGCCACATCAACCACAACAGCTGTCCTCTGTTGATTGTCCACCACCACAATGTCTGGTTGGTTCTCCATCACCTTTTTTAGTCTGTATCTGGAAGTCCCACAAGAGCTTGGCTCTCTGGTCCTCAACTAGGGCTGTCGTGGTTGAGGAATTCCCCCTGCGGTGATTCAGGGTGGCTTAATATTGCGGTGTGCAATATTATTGCAGCACTTTTTTTATTGCAGTACTATCTAAACATAATGTTTACACATTTAAAAAAGGTTAAAAATTGCTGTGCCTTCTTTTATAACACTTTACTGAATGCAGATCAAAGGGCAGTAACAACACAGATCGCAGTAGCGTTTGTTTCTCCGACAGTCGGAGTCCGACTGAACTTAAAAACAACTAAATTCAGGAGAAGGTTAAACTTTTAAATGCAAATTTGGCTGCAGCACCTAACAAATAAGAAACAAGTCCCCATTTTGTTTAGTTGTTTAAAATCAAGCATAAAAAATTACATGTACCGGGCACAGGGCACTATCATTTCACTTTCACACACACGAATGACAGTGATTTATAGCTCAGTCACGTCCTTGTTACCCACAAGGAAAACCAGCATGTTAACCATATATGGTTTGAGAGAGGATCTGAGAGGGGTGGCAACATTTCCAGCAACACTGAAAACCCTCTCGGATGGTGCGCTCGTTGCACTAACGCACACGTACTTGCTTGCGACTGGCGAGCAAAGGGAATCTCTCCCGGTTGTTGCTCCACCATGTCAGGGGGGTTTCTTTAGGGTGGATGCATTCCTCCTGCAGGTAGCGAGTGAGCTCCAGCTCAGCTCAAACTCTCTTTGGGACGGTTGCAGAAGCAGTGCTTGTCCGGGACTTCAGCAGGTCTCCGAGCGTTTTTTTTTTTTTTTGCCGCTGGTGGCAGCTCCGTCTCGGCCAAGGACTCTGGCTGCGCAGCAGCTGACGTACTGAAAACCAAAGTGCTCCCAAAGGAGTGAAGTAACGTTTCGTTTTGATACCAGTGCAGCCATCCTTCTCAACATGCATCATTGAGTTGAATCAAGTTCAGTAATCGCGGTGGCCCATGATGCAGCACGGTGGGTTTCTTCATATTGCGATATTTCATTTTTGCGGTTACCGTGACAGCCCTATTCTCAACCACCTTATGGGGTGTTACCCACTTTAACTTTGGGGCATCCAGTCCATACTCTGCACAGATGTTTCTGTACACAATGCCAGCCACTTGGTTGTGGTGTTCCATGTAAGCTCTGTCTCAGGGGTCTCTTTGTATAGCCTACACCTTGAGGCTTGTCTGGTGTGGTAGATCTTGTTGCTCTGGTGTTCAGGGTCTGTTCCTGTGCAGCCATGATGAGTGTCTCTGTGCTGTCCTTCAGACCAGCTCTTTCTAGACATTGGTAGGATTTCTTGATATCAGCCACTTCAGTTATTTGTCGGTGGTACATCCCATGTAGGGAGTTGTCCTCCCATGATGACATTTCCAGCATCTTCTCCTCTGTTCATTATTGTCTGAAACATTCACTGAACATTTCATCTGTTGGGGCCTTGTCCTTGATGTACTTATGGATCTTGGATGTTTCATCCTGGACAGTGGCTCTCACACTCACTAGTCCTCGGCCTCCTTCCGTACAACTAGTGTACAGTCCCAGGGTGCTGCATTTAGGATGGAACCATCTTTGCATGGTTTGGAGCTTCTGTGTCTTGACATCTGTGGTCTGTATTCCTTCCTTTGGCCAGCTTATTATTTCAGCAGATTATCTTATTTCTGGAAGGGCACAGCTGTTTATTGCCCAGATCTTATTCTTGCCATTGAGCTGACTTCTTAGGACTTGCTTTACTCGTTGTAGGTATTTGGCTGTGGCTCCTTTCCTTGGGACTTCATCGAGGTTGCCATTTTCTTGTGGGATACCAAGGTACTTGTAGCTGTCAATGTCGGCTATTGTTCTTTTTGGGAGGGAGACCCCTTCTGTGTGGACTACCTTCCCTTTCTGTGTCACCATTCGATCACACTTCTCGAGTCTGAATTCCAATATCAGTGCTGTAGATCCTGGTGGTATGGATCAGTGAGTCGATGTCCCGCTCGCTCTTGGCGTACAGCTTTCTGTCATCCATGTAGAGGAGGTGGCTGATTGTGGTTCCATTCTTGAGTTGGTATCCATAGCCAGTCTTGTTGATTATTTGGCTGAGGGTGTTCAGACCCATGCAGAACAGCAGTGGAACAGGGCTTCTCCATGGTATTTGCCACATTTGACAGAGACTTGTGCAATTGGCTCATGGAGTGCAGTGAGCTTCTTAAGCCATTAGGCGTGGATCATGTCAGGTCCCGGTGCTGTCCAGTTTTTCATATCTGAGACTCTTTCCTGAATGTCGGCCACAGTGATGGATACTGGGTTCTGCTCAAGGAGGTTGCTGTGGTCTTAGAGAGGCTAGCCACTTTGCATTGCTGTTGTGTGATGCCTCCTTCTCCCAAATGCCCTTCCAGTGCTGTTCAGTCTCCAGCCTTGGTTGGTCTACTCTGCTGTTTATTACCCTGCCGCTGAGTTCACATTAGCTGGTTGGGTAGAGAAGAGCTGGTTTATTTGTCTGGCTTCACTTTCTCTCGTGTATCTCTTTAGGTGGCTGGCCAAGGCCTGGAGCCTTTGTTTGGTAGTTTCCAGTGCTTCAGGTATGGGTTTCTGGCTGTAGCTCTTGGGTCCTGGTTTTCTCATTGTGCCTTTCTGGAGCCCTGACAGTTGGCTTACTTCTCTCTGTGCTGCCTTTATTTTGGCCCCCAACCTTCTCTTCCAAGGTGGGTATTGTTTCTCATCGTTGTTCTTGTTCTTATAGCCAAGCATCTCAAGGATCACTAGGATATATATAATAGGAGATAAGGAGCAATATCTCATAGACAAATGGCAATTCAATCCTATCCTAAAATTGTTCAGCCATGTATCATATATGTATGTATATTGTATGTGTATATCTTATATATACATGGCTGAACAATTTTGGGATAGGATTGAATTGTCATTTGTCAATGATATATTGCGATTTCAGTTTGATTCACAATTTTCTTCAAATCAAGGTTCGCTGGGAACTTAGCTGATTTGAAGCAATGGATGTCAATTAATTTTATGAAATTGATTGACCTGACAGAGAGTTTAGTTTTTGGCAGTGGAGACCTGTTAAAGGGTGCGGTGAGCCCACTTGGTTCCCTTTCGGATTTTGTAAAACCTTATGTGAAAAACCTGGGTTTGTATTATGGATGGTTCATTTAAATTGGACAGACAGATAAGTGCAGTGGTCCAGACTGGTTTTATCACTTGAGGCAGCTTGCAAAGGTTAAGTGCTAATTGCTGGAAACTGTCTTTGAACATGTTATTCATCTCTTTGTCTCCTGTCGACTAGATTACTGCAATTCCCTGTACTATGGATTAGGGCATTTCTCCTTAAACCGCTTGCAACTGGTTCAAAATGTAGCAGCCCGCCTTTTAACAAGTACAGGAAGCATGATCACATCTCTCCAGTGCTTTCTTCCCTTCACTGGCTCCCAGTGCATTACAGGATTCAGTTTAAATTGTTGCTTTTTGTTTATAAATCACTTTATGGTCTGGCCCCTCCTTATATAGATGATTTATTGTCACCCTACACTCCTGCCAGGAATTAGCAGTCGGACTCACAGTTTTTATTATCAGTTCCAAAGGCTCGCCTAAAGACGAGGGGAGATAGGGCATTTTCTGTGGCCGGTCCTACACTCTGGAACAGCCTTCCTCTGCAGATCAGGACCTCACAAAGTCTGGATGTCTTTAAGTCCTTGCTTAAAACTCATTTATTCAACCTGGCTTTTATGTAGGATGATTTTATTTTGTCATTGTCAGTCTTTCTCATTTTTATTGATTTTATAATTGTGTGATGAAATGCTGTTTTAATCCTAACTTGCTGATTTTTATGGTTTTATGGTTTTTAGTTATACTTGTTTGCGATTTTATCTTCTGTGTTGTACAGCACTTTGGGTTGCGGAAGCAATAATAAGTGTGCTTAAGAAATAAATGTGACCTTGACCTTGACCTTATTCACTATTGTCATATAAATCATAAATTTTTTTCTCTCATTATCTTTTTAAAACTTTATTTTTTAAATGTGCTTGTGAAAGGACTTGTGATTTTTACCTAGTGAGGTGCTACTGTATATAAATTAACCACTGGGCAAGGCTAGGGGTCTCCTATAACAACCCATAAGCCCAAGGTGGGTCTGATAACAAAAGGAACCAAGGCATAGTTAGTCAAAAATATAGTTTCTTTATTATCTTTTGTTCTTTTCTCTAAAAATCAACAAACCAAGCAACACTAGAAAAATCTAACTTAATCAAAGTAACCAGATCATTTAAATTTTAAATATTCACATAAACAAACTTACGGCAAATCAAGGGTAAATCAATCACTATAAACACAGATATACTCAAAAGAAAATGAACCTTTCTTCTTCTGAACAAATAATGCAATAAGGAAACCTGAATGTAAAAATGACTTTCATGTATTTATTAAAGGGATAGTTTACAACTTTTTCATACTTAAAATAATTAATAATTTTCTGGAGCCAGTATGTGTTCAAATGACCCTTTTCAGGCTTTACAGCCTTTTCCTCCCCCTTGTGAGTAAGATGCCTCGCTGGGAACTTCAGCCTCTCCGGACAGCTGCCCTGAAGTTTCACGTCACGCTTTACGGCAACCCACGTTTGCAACAGACAAGCTACACCTGGTTTGTCTTTATTGTAACGTGTTTTTCATGGTGGAGCCTCAGAAGAAACAAAGAAAACAGTTATCTGGTGAAGCTAAAAAAAAAGACTGTCTGACTACAAAAGGAGTCAAACAAGATTCTACATCAGGAGTTTTCTGAATCACGAGAGCTGAGAATTACAGGTACAAGCAAAGCTTATTTTATACACCCCAAAACACAAAGGAAAAGAGAAATGAAATATGGTGTTGGTTGGTGATGTGGGGGAAAGGGGAAGAGTGAGGAGCAGGTCAAGCTGAGGAATTCAAGGAGATCCTGATCGACATAGACAGACGCCTCCTTATTGAAGGGTGTGTTGCTATGGTTACCAAAAACTGAGAGAAGCTTTCTGTCTCCCTTCAAGAGACAATCAGACTAGGGTGGAGAGGAACAGCGACGCTACGAACTCGTGTACAAATAGGTCAGAAAATGACCAAACAGGGCAAAGATACTGGAAATAAGAGAGAGGACACAAGCACCCTGGTCAGTTAAGAGGATGGAAGTTATTTGTCCCAAACATCTGACTGAACAGATGAACTGTTTTGCAAAAGTGGCTAATTTGTCACCTGTTGAGTCAAGCTAACTCAGAAGACAAAAGCAGCCAAAAATAAAGGCAGGCATTTGGAAAGAAGGGAGATGAGAAACAGCAGGAGCAAGGAAAAGCTGAGTGACTGACAGCAGTTTGAAAGAAAAAACTCAGAGGTCCCGCTGCAAAGGTTAAAGTTCACTCCATGAGCTGACCTCATTCAGCAGGAATGTGAGGCTGTGTAGCACACATTCAGAGCTGGTGCACACACACACACACACACACACACACACACACACACACACACACACACACATACAACAACCACCTTGATTCTTCACTCCCATAAAGGCTTTCTCACTTAAATTAACTAATCACTTTTATCTCATTTAATTTGCTGCTTACCGGAAAAAAAATCTTCAAAAAGTTTACTTGAGAAATTTGATGCTTTCATATTTTCTAAGATAATGCACACAAATTCTTTAAGCTGTTCATAAATCATCCTTTCCAGGAACGCTTCAAGTTTCATGTAATATCCTGCAAAAAAATACTAACCTGCTGAGAAAACCCGACCACAGGGAGCTCAGACATGGCCACTGAAAGGTTTGCAAAAAGATCCTAATGACTGACTGAACTCAAGCAAGCAGTAAAGTGAACATTAGTGCATGAAGAAAAACATGTCAAAAGAAAGCAAGAAGTGGCTCACGCTTGGTGGGAAACAAAAATGTTGGTAGCTTTTTGTGCTGTAGCTAAGCTGATGTTTCGTGTGATGCAGCTGGTTAGACCCACAGATGTTTTAATACTTCCTGTAGGTCGTGAGCGACTGTCTGGGATCCTGGGGGTGAGCGCAGAGCAGGCGAGCCGATTCCAGGACAGTTTTCTCCAAACCTACAGAGGTGTCCAGGCGTTCATCCAGAGGACCATCCAGCAGAGCCACAAGCAGGGTCTGTTTGATCCTAATTCAATTCAATTCAATTCAAAAATACTTTATTAATCCCAGAGGGAAATTGATTGCTGTAGTAGCTCAGAGTAATACTATTAATCAAGTCATCAAAGAGTTATTGTGTATTACAATGGCTGTTGGCAGGAAGGATCGCCAGTAGGGGTCCGTGTTGCAGCGAACTGAAGAAGCCTCTGACTGAAGACACTCCTCTGTGATTGGACAGTCTTGTGAAGAGAATGCTCAGGGTTGTCCATAATTTTCTTGATTCTCTGGAGAATCCTTCTTTGCATTATCTCCTCCAGTGGTTCCAAAACTGCCAAAACTCTGGCTGAGTCCTTGAAAGGGCTTGGAGTTCCTCCATCTTGTTGGCTAGTGGTCTCACATTTCCCATTATGATCGATGGAAGAGATTGTTTGAATTTCCGCTTTCTCTGTCTCCGTTTTGCTCCCGCTCTGCACCCACGCTTCTTGCGTTTTAGCTCATTTGGGATTTGTGGCTTCAGTTGAGGTATTATTCCTGCCTTTCCAATGTTAATCAGCTGCTCCCGATTGTAAACCAGCTTGTTGCCATGGTTACGCATCATAACAAATGCTCAAAAAGTGAAAAAAAATAGCAGTAGAAATCCTACAAGCTTCACAGCACCAGAAACAGAAAAGTAAAATGTCAAAAAATACAGTTTTTCTTGAAGAAACTAGAAGAAAAAATGTCCAAAAAAGGCTAAACTTACATATAGTCAACAGAGCTACTCCAACATGCAGCCACCCAGAGCAGCGCAGTTCCGGAAGGGTCATTGGTTATGAAATAACACTTCACTTATGTGTGCATGATGGCATCACTTTGAAAACTCTGTGTGCTCTTTGAGATTATATCCTCAAATCTCATCACCTTCAGTGATTTGTGTGTTTGAGAGGAATTAAGAAGATCTGCTCGTACCAGTAGGAATGAGGCTGTGGGTCGATACTCGAAGGCATTTTATGAGGGTTCTAATGGTTCCGATGGGACTTTATTTACACGCATATCAAAAGTGCCAGCACAGCACACCTTAGATTTGCACATGCTCACACAAAATAGTGTAAAGTCTGCAGTTTAACCCCTCATTGAGCCAAGTTTGGATGAGAAGATGATGTCACAATGCACCAAAACAAGAACCCCCAGGAACCGTTGGAGATTAAAACCTCACCCTAAAGATCTAAACCTCTTTTATGTGCTTTGCATTGATTTTTTTTACTTGGTAATAAAAGCAGAAGTGAACCCCAACACAAGCTTAGGTACCTAGAATGAGCGTGGCACATTCTCGGGTGTAAACATCATCAAGCAAATGTTGACAAATAAACTTTTAGTTACAAATATCAAGCAGAGCATCAGGGTGTTGCATCTGCAGTCAGGTACTTAATCACCAGGAGCAACCCATCACCGGAGACACGCCCCAGCCCTTGTCATGTCTCCCTGCTCTGGAGGCAGCCTGCTGATCAATAAGCTGTAATAAAACACCGCGCACGGATCAGAGAGGGTGACGATGCACCAAACAGTTTTCACCCAATCCTGTCCTTTCTCTCTCTTTCGTCCCTCAGCGGAAATTAAAATAAAACAGTCGTCTGTGATCTATGATACCGAATGAACTGGCTGTCTCAGCAGCAGGACGAGGAATAGAACACGCCATGGCGTTTTCGTCCACGCGCTGTCTGATGAGTGGTTTGTGTATGAGAGTGAAGCAGGGTGAGGGGAACGGTGCACACTCAGCTGCTGTCATATTTATGGAAACTTATCTTATAGGTTACTGTAAAGGTGAGCTCAGCCTCCCCATGTGGACATGGCAACAGCTGCATTTCTGAAGCATCCACACACTTTTTGATGCTCTTTGATATTTAAATGAGCTGACAGGTCTCTGCTCATCTCATTAGAATGAAAACGGTGTGTCGTAACTTCTGAAAACGTCGTTTTTCCTTCTTACTTCAAACAAAACAAATCTCAGAGAAAAAAAATACGCTGAAATCCTCCAAAGGTCGCAGCCGGAGTGTTGAAACGCTCACTTTGCCTCTGATGCTGCTTTTCTCAGAAGACAATTGCTTCAGAAAAATTAAGGGTTTGAATTTTAACTGTTATGTTGTGTTTTCATTAGGTGCAGTTGTGAAAAGATTCCATTTATTTTTATTCAGAGGATGAAAAAAGAAAAGGTTTTCACCCATAGAAGGTCATTTACTGTCAGTTTAAGACATCTGGGGCACATATTTATGAACTGGTCATTTAGAGGTGGTACTACTACTTTGCTGCTGTTAAAACTGACTTCTAAAGGGTGTTTGTGTTGTATTCTACTATAATGTAAAAACAAAATCACATTTTCATCCTGCTATGATCTAGATGAAAATGCATTTCTCTCTATATATATAGTGTATATACATTATATTTTTATTAAATTACACTGTAAAAATTAAATGTTGAATTAACTGAAGTTAACTTTGAATGGTTTTACTAAACCTAGTTGCCTAAAGAGTAATATGCATTGTTTTTTGGCATTATGGTAAAAGTGAATGTACACTACGTCTCACTCTTTACTAGGTTTAGTGGAATCAGTTGGCATAAGTTGCTTAAGTAAATTTAACATTTCATTTATAGTGTACATAACCACATAATTGCTGTAAGTGACTAGAATTTATCATCGCAACAGAATAAATACAAAGGTCTTAAAAAGAAGTGGTAAGTTTGATTTATCATGTTTCGTCTTCTACAGCAGCGGTAGACAACCCTGAGAGCCACAGTCCTGCTTTTTTTTTCTTCGAACTACCTATGTTGTTCCTGCTGTTCATCACCTGGATCAGGTGTGTTCAGCCAGTTAGAAGCCGCAAGTTCATGCATGGCTGGAAAACATGCAGCACTGCGGCTCTCTAGGACCAGGGTTGCCTACCCCAAGTAAGCCCACAATCTTCCTCACTGACTTAAAAGGAGTATTTATGTACATAATAATGGGTCTGTTATGACCATTATAGTCAGCTTAGGGCTGGGCGATATGGACGAAAACGTATATCTCGATATATTTTTGCTGAATTCCGATATACGATATATATCGATATTTTTCCTCCTGTAAAATATTTACAAGTTAACTCACTTCAAGCTGTCTTGAGAAATTACATACATAAATCAGTAGATAAAATGCATAAAAATGTATTGATTCTTGTCAAACTTTAACCTTAGTGCCTATTCTCTACCAGTTTGAGCTTTAGAAACACTGGTACAGCTGTCTGTTAACACACACACAGTTGGGAGCTAGAGGTGTATCAAATGTCCCACAGGCACTTTTTATTTATATATTTATAATTAATGTACAATTATTTAAATTTCATCTAGAGGTGGCCCATATCGTATATTTATTGTCCAGAGAAATAAATCATGTTAAGCTAAATTTATGATGATGTAATTGCATCTACTGAAGATCACGTGGGTCATGCACAGTGGAGTTATTAGTAATCAGGGCAAACCTGGCTGGAATCTAACCGTACTGACTCATATCAGCGATTATACTGTAATGACTCAGAGTCTCTGGTTGCTCTTTTATGGGGATTAATTTCGGGCTTCTGTCGCCGTAACCCATGCCTTACAAACTCAACTTTTTCAACAGTATCGCTCGTAACGGAGTATTTACTAGCATAGCTAACCAGAGCGGAAAAAAACGGAACCGGAACAACATTTCTCACCCGTTGAGCTCGCCTTCAAAATAAAATGTTAACCCTCTAGTTTACTATTAAACTGTTACAATATGTTTGAGGTAATTTGGCCACTCTGACTATCCGTAGATGTTTCCCGATTACACAGGGGAGGGAGGGGTTTGGTTCGTCTCCGCACGAGCAGAATGGATAAACAGAACTCCGTTGGCGTTGAACGTCCCCAAATAATTTAAAACCAGGACGCTAAATGCAAAGTTTAGAGCAGCACATTCACCCAGAGGCTCTCAGATAGAGCAAACTTGTGAGAATACACGTAATAACCGCTTAAAGACGGAGCAACATGTCGCTAGCATTGCGGCTAATAGCTAGCATAGCAGTTTGACCAGTTATATCGATATAAAGATATAAAGTCATCTTATATCTTGTTTAAAAATTATACCGATATTTTAAAAATATCGATATATCGCCCAGCCCTAAGTCAGCTATAATCTTTCCATGAACTAGTTGTATTTCATTTATAATTCTCTAAAGAAAGCAACTAAACAAATACACCAACGGGTCAAAGTACATATACTGTATCATATTGAATCTCATTAATTGGCATTTAATTGTATTGTGTTGTCGTTTTTTAAAAAGGGATGAGAAAATATGTGTTGTTTTCTAAAACAATTCCTCTATTGGAAACGTCTGTTTAACCTTGACTTGGTCGTTACGATTTCATGAGTTCATCTGTTTTTTTTAATTTTACTTAATTTTATTTTATTTTTATCACATAATTTCATTGTCACTTTTTACAAAAGCAACACAGTTTGAGGGTGCTGCCCCTTCAGTCTGGAGCATGCAAGATAAAAATAAACAGAGATCATAACAAGAAAAGTTATATTAAAACCATAACAATACATACATATTCAAGTCTACTTATGACAGTTTGTTGCACAGGTTAGATATATTTGCAATAAATTGGATCTATAAATGTTTCCATTTTCCTCCCGAGTAGCCTTTCTGAAGAGCACCACAGCCTGTTTCGGACAATGAGGTGTTTGCATAATAATATTGGCTCTTTAAAATGTGCAGCGACAGCTAATAGTATTGAATTGTGTCATTGTTTACCAGCTGTGTGTTTTTAGCACCATTTTCCACATTCTTCAAATATCTGACCATGAAAAACAGACCAAAACAAACAATCTGGTCTTCACAACATTGTGTTAGTGCCTAGGGAAAACAAAAGACACGCATTCCTGTCTGATACCTGTGTAAAGTTTCACACACCGGTTGTGTGATGTGTTTTCACCAACACAATGCTCAGGGAACGTCGTTGTCTTTGGGCCTCATAGCAGAGATCACATTCCTGCGTGAAAGGTCACATGGATGAGTCACATGGATGAGTCACAGGTCAACACAAACACAGTATTGTGTTTTCTTGCTCATGAATTTGACTGGTTTTTTTCTTTCTTTATATCTGCATTAAGCATATGATAATGTATCATAACACTGTAAAAAATTAAATGTTGGGTTGTCTTAAACAAGTTATGTCAACTGGTTCCATTAAACCTAGTTTCTTAAATGTAAATAGCAATGTACATTTACTTTTAACATCATGTAGAACAATGTGTATTACTCTTTGCATTTAAGTAACTGGGTTTAGTGGAACCAGTTGACATAACTTGAGTAAGTTAATTCAGTGTTTTATTTCTTACAGTGTAGACCTCCATGCGTTGATTATCAAACATGTACTGTATTTTCTGTAGTATAAGTCGCACCAGCCATAAAATGTATAATGAAGAAGAAAAAAACCTATATATAAGTCACACTGGACTATAAGTCACATTTTGGGGGGAAATTTTATTATTTTTCTTACAAAATCTGAGACCAAGCATTTCATATTGCAAGACAAGTACCGGTAGCAATAACAGAATAACAATCAGAGCGCAGCAGCGCGCCACGGTCTCCAGCAGAGGATGGCGGTGTTTGAAACCCTCCCAGCGGGGCAGAGGAGCTCATAACTGGACCGGAGCCAGCCCGCAGTAGCGCGGTATACATAATTTGGTATATAAGTCACTTTGGTATATAAGTCGCAGGACAGCCAGACTATGAAAAAAGTGTGACATATAGTCCGGAAAATACGGTGATGGTAAATAAAGGTGCGAAGGCCTCATGCCACAGCTTAAACCTAAGCATTAGCAGTTTGCACTTGCTACTACAATTTTTGATATTTTATTTCTTTGTTCAGGTTATGTGGTCTCCATTATGGGTCGTCGCCGGAACCTCCCCAACATCCACTCACCGGACTGGGCCGTCCGCATGCAGGCAGAGAGGCAGGCTGTCAACTTCGTCGTTCAAGGTAGGATCGCCGAAACCTGTAGTGCTGGTAAGAATCATCACTTCAGCTATTGGTAAACAGTTCCCTTTTAAATCTTTTGTGTGTTTGATATCCAGGTTCTGCTGCTGATCTCTGTAAGATGGCCATGATCATGATCTTTGACATGGTCTCCTCCTCTGACATGTTCTCTGCCAGGTTTCCCAACACTGACCACAAAACCATAACTCCACACCTAGATCCAAATTGTCCAACGCTGTTTCTAAATGTACTTTAGCTAAATATGGTCTTGCTGTGTAGATGAGGATTCGCTGACTGGGTTTGTCACGCATGAACACACAAAGCAACACTCACCCATGTACCAGCCAACTAAATGTGTCCATGTGAAGACAGCTTCCTAACGACCGGTGCTGCCAAACATTCAGCTAGAGTAAACACAGAGGAAGCAAGAGCCAGATACATCCCAGTTAGATGAGAATCTGCACTGAAGTTTTCACTCTGGTTTGCTGATGGAAACAAAAAACAAAGCTGAACTATCAACTTATCAAAGCAATGCTAAAAAGGTTTTCTGCTTGTGGAATTACAACAGTTGTAACTTGCTGTAACTAGCGCTAATAACAAGCTAATGCTAACGTGAGCCAACTGATAAGCCACAAAGTAAAATAATCCACAATGTTGGATAAAATATTATTACTTACAAGTCCAGTAGCAACAAAGTCAGGTCACTATCAGTCAGTGATGTTGTACCCTCCTTTAGTTCCCTCAGAGTAGCGTAGTCCGCGCCGATGTTCACTCTGGTTTTAGCTCTTTGCTTCACCTCCAAAGACATACTCTCTTGCTTCCACGCTCTGTCATGATGCCAACAAAAAAGCAAAATTCTTCCACTTCTTCTTCTTCTTGTGCTTTTTATTGACTTTGGCAAACTAAAAAAGCTAACTGCTAGCCTTTACATTAGGTACAGGCAAAGTAAACAGCTATTGCCATAAATCCAGTAGACCTCCCACTAGTGCTTCCAATCAAACCACAAAACTGCAGTTTCTGGTCAGCAGAGTGCTGTCCAATGTGAAGGTGCTCAAGTTTCAGGCTGAAGAACCACTGAAACCAGTTTGAAAACAATAGCTTCAAGTGTTAAAACTTTTTGGGTGTGCTTTAAGAAATACTTAATGGTTGTTTCATGTGACTGTAGGCTCCTAGCACAACTTCATGATGAGCTTTTGTATGAAGTGGAAGATTCCCAAGTGGAGACATTTGCAGGTAAATTAAATTCACCCATAACTGCGCTGCATTTACCCAAAAGATTCTGAAAATTATTCATAAAACTGTTAAAATACACACTTGAACTCCACACCAAAGGGGCCTGTTTCAGGCAATGTTTGAGAATATGAAATAGAACTGAGCTGAATGAATCATCGTATTCATCCTTAACGAGGCTTGATGTCATCCCAGTCTCTACTACTGGAAAACTATTGATTGATTGGACTCATTTTGCATTCTGTTTTCATCACTGGTAATGCCATACTTGAATTACTGTGTGGAAGTTTGGGGAAACACATACCCGAGTAATCTGCAATCACTATCCATACTGCAAAAATGAGCAATAAGGATAGCATATAATGTGAGATATAGGGAACACACAACAACACTGTTTTTAAAATTACAAGTGTTAAAATTTATTGATCTGATAAAGTTTAAAACTGCAGTAATCATGTTTCAGGCAAGAAATAAATTACTTCCATGTAATATACCGAAAACGTTTGTGATAAAGATGATGGGTACATTTTAAGAGGGCCATTAAACTTCAAAAAACAGAGTTCGGACATCAAAGAGGAGTATGTGTACTGGGGAGGGCAATATAAATGATATAAGGTAGAAACGATATGAAACTGGATAATGATAGAGTTTTTGGCGATATCGCAATATCACAATATCGCGATAGCACATGACGTCACTAAGATATGCACCCTGCTAACATTGGGACAACAGAATGGCAGTGACTGCAAGCATGGAGTGGGCGGAGGAGGAGGCCTATATGCCTCAAGTGACATATATTTGCCACATGAGGATATTTAAAAGCATATCATTTTGACATCTATAAATAGAGGAAAAAATATATCGCAATATATATCGTTACCGCAAATGCTTCCGATTATATCGCAATATTGATTTGAGGCCATATTGCCCAGCCCTAATGTGTACAACACAATGTGGGGTTGATTTACGGAACAAATTGAGCTGGGTTAAATGGAATAATACAAGAAGTTGATTGTTGAGTACCGGTATGTTTAATCTATTTGTTACTCTGTATTATTGTTAATTTTATATAGATATGTTTCTTAATTTTTTAATTTTGTTTTTGAGACAGATTGAATAAGAATAAGTGAGAAGGGGGTAGGAATGTACAAGTTTTACTTCTAACTACCCCTTTTCTGACTTAATTATTTGATTGTTTTTGTGTTGAGTTGTGTTGAATAAAAAAATGTTTTTTACGTTAGTTCGAAGTAAAGTACAAGTCAAGTCATTGACAAAATAACAACAAAAGAAAATAACAAAAGTTTTGTCTAGACTGCTTTGCTTTAATGGAGATGTTGAAGTTATTTTACCAGGAATCTCCTATTCCTCTACACCATGTTTGTTTTTCTCATTACATAAATTGGGTTTGAAAAGGCCAATAAGAAAGTGTGTGTGTGTGTGTGTGTGTGTGTGTGTGTGTGTGTGTGTGTGTGTGTGTGTGTGTGTGTGTGTGTGTGTGTGTGTGTGTGTGTGTGTGTGTGTGTGTGTAGCTCTGGTGAGAAGCACCATGGAGTCTCTTCAACACATCCACCATGCGGGTGTCCATCTGAAAGTGAGTGAAGTCAAAGACTATTTTCACTTTGTACGTTACATAAACGAGCCATAAGATTGGTCAGTCATGTTGGATATAATGAACACACAAATAGCTTGTTCATAAAATTACAAACCATAAAGGGACTTTACGGAGTTTTGAATTTTTATGCTCGCGATTGCCCCCTCAGGCCAACAGCGTAACGGCAGCTTCAGTAGGAGGCTCGTGCACGAGGCGTTCATGCTGTATGTGCACACTCCTTAACGAAAATAACAGCTGAGACAGTCCCTTGTGTGTGTGTGTGTGGCCCGGAGGACAGAGGACAGGAGAACACGCAGCTAATTAATTAAATAATTTGGTTCTGTACCTTTCTCTTCAGCACAGCCGACAAAGGTTTATGATGGGTCAGTCCTCCTGCATGCTCAGATCATTCCCTTCCCTTGCTTGAAAAATTGTTCCAAAATGAAAGTTGAACCCACATCTTTTTTATCTGTGAATTCAATGTCGTTCGGCGAGTCTCAAGTAAAAATTTGGGCATCTTACTGTAAAAAATATATCATTAATGTAAAAAAGAAACTCTAAATAAACTATGTTCACACCCAGAATCAAACCCGGGTCTCCTGCATGTAAGCCCGAAGTCTTACTAGGCGAGCTAAACCACCAGTGACATCTTTTGTATCTGTAACATTGAATGACCTATAAAATAAAGTTTTATATCTCAAAAACCATAGCAGCACAAACGTCAACTTCACCTGCACAAACGAAGTACTAACCGAGCAGCCTATAGAGCTCCGGGAGTTGACATCACTTCTCCCGTCATGCAACAGTTCAAATCGAAACGGCCCCATATTGGCATGCAGAAGCCGGCAGCTGGACTATTTGTTATTGCCAGAAAACTCAATCAAACGGGAAATATGGTAGATTCCTGTTGTGCCCCAGGATGCAGAGCAGACGCGGACGACATAAGGAATGAGCCATCTACAGGATTCCCCAAGATCCGGAGCGCCGCAAACGCTGGATCATTGTAATAAAACGCACTAGTGACCGGGCTGAACTGAAGCTGTGGGATCCCGAGAGTAAAGGTTTTCACTTATGCAGCGACCACTTCATATCAGGTACTTAAACCAACGTTTCCTCAACTGTGTATGGTATTTATTTTAAATGCTTTTATTATGATTCTTAGTGGGCTTCCTAAACTTATTTTGGCGTGGCTTTTTCTGTCTTATTACTCATAGCAGCAAGTAAACATCACGTAAAACGTTGCCTCGTGATTTCTGCGTGCTGCCGTTTACGTGTTTTATGATCACAGCAATTAACCGGCTAAGCTGTATTTAATTTTTAAGCAATGGTTGATCAATTGTCAGATCACACATAAAAAGCAATTTGGATTGCTATTATCTGTCTCACCGAGACTACTTACGTGTAAATCTGTTATTTGTCCGTCCATCCATCCATTTTCATTCGCGTATCCGGAGTCGGGTTGCGGGGGCAGTAGCGTGACTTCCCTCTCCCCAGCCGCCGGAGCCAGCTCCTCCGGGTAAATCCCAAGGGGTTCCCCGGTCAGGTCCGGTGTTGTGTCGGTAAGAAGTCCGCTCCGACAGCTTCTGGCGTTTTTAAAAAGTATCCCAGGGGCACGGTAAGGGTCGGAGATGTTTAGTCTATTTAATTTCTGACTATATAAAACGATTTCTTCGGTTTTAAAGTGTGAAGTAAACTCCGACGAAGTAAAATCCAAGCGGATCCCGTTCATGTTCATGGTTACATCCGTGTTTGTTTACCTTTTTTGCATGCCAAAATGGCGTCCACTAACTGAGAGTCACGTGGGGTCCGGAGCTCTATTGGCCTCCACTTTTGAAGCTGACGGGGTGGGGTGGGGGTGGGGGCGTCAGCTTCACAGAGCAGCCTGCTCGACCCGAGCAGCTCTCTTTTTCTGTGATTTTACAGAAAAACAGGCAATCACAGTAAAAATGCCAGGGCTCATTCTTCAGGACCAGGGCATTGCAGGAGAATGTATGAAGAAGAAATTTATTATTTCTATACATGTTTTGGCTGTCAAACTTCCATAATGCCCGTTTAAAGTTCAAAAATTTGATTGAATTTAGGACTGCATTATTTATGTGCTAAGTAAAAAAAAATTGCCTGAAAATATTCAAAAACTGCAGAGCGTCGAGGTGGATATAAGTTGAGAAGGGAATTAAATATGAAGCAGCATTATGCTCGAACAAAATAGAAAAGTATGCGTATCTCAATTAGTGGAGATATTTTTATGGAATAGTCTTGAGGAAAGAATCAAAGAAAGTTTAAATATAGTGCAATTTAAGAAATTATATAAAGAATTAATTGTTTCAAGATTTAGACAAGAGGATCACTAATTTGCATATATACTGAAGTGATAATATATATTAACGTTGTTGTAATTGATGTTGATACTTTTAAGTTGTTTTATTGTGATGTTGTGTTCAGAAGTTGTTGTATTCTGATATTTTAATTTTTTTAAGTATGAGTAAATTGATTTAGGGATAGGTGAAATAAGCTATACTTCTTCCTATTCCTTTTCCAACAATTATGGTTGTGATAAGTTATGTTTATGTTTATGTATTTAGCAGACGCTTTTGTCCAAAGTGACTTACAAGTGATAATCGGCATGTTGCCCTTGAGGCTAACAACAACAATAACAACAACTTGATATCAATCAGGGAGAGGAGGGAACAAGGAGTGGACAGTAGAGAGGGGGGGTGGGTGTAGGGAAGGTGCTAGTTTAGAAGATGCTCTCTGAAGAGCAGGGTCTTCAGGAGTTTCTTGAAAATTGAAAAGGAAGCCCCTGTTCTGGTAGTGCTTGGAAGGTCATTCCACATTTGTGGAACGATGCATGAGAAGAGTCTGGATTGTCCTGAGCGTGGTGTAGGCACTGCTAGCCAACGATCTTGTGATGACCGGAGCGGCCGGGCCGAGACGTAAGCCTTTGCAAGAGGATTCAGTTAGATGGTAGCCGTACCATCGCGGACTTTGTATGCTAGTGTTAGCAATTTGAATTTGATGCGTGCTGCTAGCGGTAGCCAGTGGAGCTCAATGAACAGAGGGGTGACGTGTGCTCTTTTTGGCTGATTGAAGACCAGATGCGCCGCTGCGTTCTGGACCATTTGAAGAGGTCTCACAGTACAGGCTGGAAGACCAGTTAGAAGGGCATTGCAGTAATAGAGGCGGGAGATGACAGTAGATTGCACCAGGAGCTGGGTGGCATGTTGTGTTAGGTATGGTCTGGTCTTTCGTATGTTATACAGCGTAAAGCGGCATGAACGAGCAACAGAGGCAACATGATCTTTAAAGGTCAGGTGTTCATCAATCACAACACCCAGATTTCGAACTGCCTTTGAAGGAGCCAGAGATAGGAAGTCATTTTGGATTGAGTTATTGTGCTGTATGGATGGTTTTGCTGGGATGACAAGTAGTTCAGTTTTAGAGAGGTTGAGTTGGAGATGGTGGGATTTCATTCATTTTGATATGTCAGAGAGATGGTTTGATATTCATGCAGAGACAGTGTGGTCGTCCGGTGGAAATGACATATAGAGCTGGGTGTCGTCTGCATAGCAGTGGTAGGAGAAGCCATGTGATCAAATGATCTCACCCAGTGAGGTGGTCTATATAGCAAAGAGAAGAGGTCTTAGTACAGAGCCCTGGGGGACTCCTGTGGCAAGATGGTGCACGGTAGAGGATTGTCCAAGCCAAGATACACTGAATGATCATCCTGTGAGGTACGATTCAAACTAGGCGTGTGCTAAGTTGGAAATTACTATATGTATTGTTTTATTTGTTTGAAATAAAAAGAGAAAAAAAAAGAAATCTGCTGTTGAAGTCATCCCAAATCTGTTCACTGACTTAAGAGTTGTAGCTTTTTCTTTTACCATGTCACCAAAACACACCTTCCAGCTGAACGTTGTATTTCTTGTGTGTCTCCCAGGTTCCCCTGAAGGTGGCAGTCTCCTGTGGAAAGACCTGGGGATCCATGTCTGAGTTTCACACCCCTCCTCTGCCTCCTTCCTCCTCTTGAGACCATCGTCCACCCTGCTCGCCCCTCCCTCCACCATTACCTCATTTTTCACAGTCATATTTTTCCTCCCTCGTCATTTTTCTTCCTACATTCACATCCTCTCCCTCGTCTCTCGCTCTCTCATCCTATTTCTCCCCCTCATAGTCAATGCATCTTCTCTCCTCACTTGTCCTGCATCCACATCACTATGGAAACCAGCTGCAGCTCCCACTTCTTGCTTTCACTCCATCTGTATCCGGGGGCAACCTCAGGAGCCACAAACTGGATTGGACCAGTTTATTTTTCTCTCTTTCATTTACTTTCTCCATCCTAAAAAAATGTGCCTTGTTCTCCCCCTCTTCTATGTTCACACTATCTCACTAGGGCCAAAAATGTTTTTTCTGCCTCGTTGCCAAGGTGAAGAGAGAACCTGGTTTTCATTGGTTCATAAAATGAGTTGTTGAGTATTAGCTGAGCCTTGAAAAAACTGCTTTTGTTTTTTTTATTTCATGCTGAATAAAACTTGTTGGTATTCTGGTCTCCGTATCTGAATTCCCCAAACCAAAACTGGACAAGTGCCGGTGCTCCTATAATGGGTCTCAGGATATTTTTATCTCCTATTAAACTTCACCTTTTGCTGAAACGCCTTCACCAGATTTAAGCAGGTGATGTGATTTCTCTCAGCCGTGAGCGTCCGTCTCTCTGCACACATCTTTTATCTGCCCTCTTGGCTCCAGCCCACTCGCCCTTTTGTGTTGTATCTCACACACACATTCAAGGGCTTCCTGGCACACTGACCGATTTCTCTTATGTCTGACAGCCACAATAAGACTCTTTATGGCCTCTTTTTATATTAAATATCACTTGTAGAAGTTTTAAAATCAGAAAAACGGTGCTGCTGAGAAGGTTTTCTCACCACATCCGTGTGAGACGGAGCAGCGGATAGTGTTATGGAAATCTGCCCCTCCATTCTTTCATTGTTCCATGGTTTGAGGGTACGACCCCTCCTTCACTCAACTGCATTTTGTAAGAGGAGGGGTGAGACTGGTATTTGCACTTGTGGAGTTCAAATGTGACAAAATTATATTTGATACCTCCTAAAACTATTTGTTGTTGAATCTTTTCTGTTTAGCTTCAGAACTTCAACACTTTTTGCTCAAATATTTAAATACAGAAAGTAAAAAGTTAACTAAAATGTTTGTGACGTTCTCGAATGAATGGCCTTTGCCTTCAACAGGAGCCCCTGTCTGAGAGTGCTGCTGAAGACTCGGTTGCCACGAGCAACGGCATGATGCGTAAGTAAAACCCTGCAGCTTCAATCCTCACGGCTACAATTATCTCCGTTATATAGACTGCTCTAAGTGTTTCTCCTTTCTCTTCATCTTCTGGGTTGTGTGGGGAAAAAGTACACATGGTACTACTGCAGCATGTAAAAGCTTGATGTGCTGGCTTTTTATTTTAATACAATATATGTACATCCATGTTTCAATCGTCAATGCAAGAAATCCCATCTTTACATCTATACAGTGTTCCAGTTGTTTTCAGTAGAAAAGAAAGGGTTAAAAGTCACAATTATAATAGTGATGCAGGTGTCAGATTTCATCCAGAGGAGTGACATGAGGGGGAGTTTCACTGAGATTCTGATAATGTCTCATAAACGCCATGTTTATATATATATATATATATATATATATATATATATATATATATATATATATATACATATATATGAGCCCAGCCACGATTTATTCACTGCTATTCTTTCCTTGATTTTCCTCATTAAGCTCTCGGAAAAGCATCTAGACTTTTAACCCCCTTGACTTGACTCGTCCATCTATCAGTTCCTCCTGCCTTGCATCTACAGAGGTCGAGCGGTCTGCCGAGCCTCAGCGTGGCTGCACGTCTGCCTCCTGCCATGCTTTGTGCAGCCTGGTTTCCTTGGCAACGGACAACAACCATGATGAGGCTCCGGGGCAGAGTGCCAGGACAGCTACAAACTAACACAGCCACTGCTGCTCCTCCGATTTTGAAGTTCAAGCTGATGGGGACAAGAAAGGCTCGGCCCAAACCTGTTGTTGGTTTTGGATATGGACAGGGTTACAACACGGGCTTCAAACCGCTTCAAATAGGATCATTTTGTTGGATCGTATTTGTCTCACTGTCTCAATTCAGGGTCTGCATCCTTCGAAGGACCCAGCCTACTCGGCCGATGTGGGCTGGGTCCTCCGTCAGCCAAGTAGACACCGGATGTTAACGGCTGTGAATTTGGACAGGCCTAGACTTCATGAATTCCCGCCACTCCCTCGGCGAACGTTCCGTCGCCTAGCCTATTTGAGACACAGCCTATAATAATTATCTATCTGTTCAAAATAAACACTCTGAGTTACAAAAGGAGTAAAAAGTGCCCCCAAAGGGGCTATTTACAGTCAAATGTACTTTGCAGCTTTACAATTACTAAAGAAATACTTGAAATTTTAACTGTACGAGACAATTGACATGCTACTGCAGCATGTTTCTAGTGGTCTTAATGATGAACGTGTTGGTTTTTGTTTTTCCCCAACTGCTTGAACTGCTCAATCCTCAGCTTCTATCTTCCCCTCATGTCATTTCTTATTGGCTTCTGTACAAATATGCAGAGGTACACCTGTGCATTTCAACTTTTGCTTTTTTTTGGGGGGGGGGGGGGGGGGGGGACTCTTTAAAGAACAAATACAAAAAGGACATAAAACAGTTTACAAAGTCCATCCCAGGCTTTGATAAAATCAATCAAATCGGCACCACTGACAGAAGTTGGTTCGATGTAGGGGATACATAATAATGTCAATGCAGCATTTAGTGTTTTAAAAAAATCCTTGTAAATAGCATTTTATTCTTCCCTTGTTTCATCTGGTTGTATTTATTGCTTGATTGGATGGCACGTGGGCAGGACCATGTTCAACTAACTAGAAATAATGTTAAAAAATAAATAAAAAGGCAGCAGTTACTATCACCTTTGGCAAATTTCCACCTCCAAGCAAAACCACAGCCACGGGTTGTAGCATAAATCATACACTAGTGTCACTTCCTGTATATATAGGCTTATGATGCACACAAATGAGAGAAAGTAAAACATCCACAGTCGTCATAGGACAATATATGAAAAAGAAATCCAAGCTTCAGCTATGTAAATAACAGCAAAACAAGACACGGTTGTGCTACACGTGCTTTCACATCCTTGGGACTTGTGTCCAGAGTGAGTCCTTCTCTGTTTGCAGAGAGAATTGGGAGTCTCTCCCCATAAGACACCTGCACCCCCTCTGTAACTGCCAATGTGGCACATTCCTCCCCGCCTCCTCTCATTAGGTAGAACATTCCAGGCAAGAACAAAAAAAACCAATCGGGATCTGTTCAAACTAGCAAACTTATGTTAGCTACAGCTATTTACAGTTGCACAGAATGTCTAAGAACTTCTGTGTGGCGGTTGAGTCTGTTCTCTGAATGAACTGCTCCCTCACTTTACTTTTCATTCATTAAGTAAATGAAGAACAGAAAAGGTGTGGAACAAAACGATTGGTTGCTTACAGTCATGTCTGTGTTGCTGATGAAGATCAGTGACACAGCATGCCCACCGGGTCTGAACCTTTGTGAAGTTTAGAACACTAAGAGATACTTTTTCTTATTACGGAGCCGAAAGAAACATATATGAACATCTCTTGACTTGAAAGCGATCCAAACCAAAACAGCCTTTTTCCGACAGACCATAAACAGAATACGTTCCAACGAGTCGCCGAAACCAACAGAAAATTGTTTCTGGGATTGTCCATTAGCAGAATAATGAAGGGCGTGTAACTAGTTATACAGCAGATGCTAGAAGATGTTGACATTTAATACAGTCTACTACATTCTAAAATTAGGTATGCAAGACCAGTTTTAGGAGGAGGGGTAAGACTTCACAGGGGGTGGGGGGGACAGCATTCACATGAAGTACAGTAGTAAACATACTACATACATAAACTAGTACATAAACGGACTAGAAATAAATGCATTAATCAGTGCACTTCGTCTTTACGATTCAAAAATCGCTATAAAACTAGCTTAAGCCATGCAGTCCACAGGATTGTTCAACTCTAGCGTTTGATTCTAGTGCATAAGGCCTTGGCAAAGGCTTACCTCTCTTTGCAATACCAGATGATGGTTTATCTTTCCCCATAAATTATGTGTAATAGCTTTAAAACTTAAAAATGGCAGCAGCAGAAATGACCAACTTTACATTCTATAACGAGATTTAAAAAAAGGCCTCATCCTTTTCCCTTGCAACACGTTGACTCCTCAGCACCACTGTTCTAACACTGTTTCGACACTTGGCGCATAGCAAGTACCTGCGTTGTTTAACTTTCCTTTAGTGGGATGATATAGTGGTTGCACAAAAGTCTGACTGCGTTATGACCCTCCCAAAGCAACCAGTTTCAGAGTAGATATACGAAAGTGTTACAAGACATCTTTTATGGTTGCCCTATGAGATCATTTGAAAATGTTTGATGCTATTAGGGCTTTTGTACCATGATTTTTTTGCATAATGCCCTAAGGTAATCGTAGCTACGCTTTATGTTGCTTCAACAAAGAGCATTCAGGGGGAAGAAACTAAGGGGCAACACCTGAACGACAGGTGTGTTTGTCCATCTGTAAACATAAGAGCTTGTTGCAAATACTGTACAGTCCAAAACTAGGTACAAAGGTAAACAGTTGTGTACTAAGATTATTTTTGGCATTTAAGGGCACTGAACAGGAAGTACAGCTTTAACCTTTGACATTTGTAATGACATGCAGGATTTTGTACTTCGCACCAAAATCTAAGGGCCATGGACATGTTTTTACCTGGAACGCGTTACTAAATGCTGGTCGAGTTCTTCACTGCGATCAAAAATTTAAACGAACTCTCCTTTACTCAAGCATGTGATTAATAATTGGAAACTTAGTATTTTGTCTTCCTTGTTCTTTAAGACTTGCTCGTGGCTGGCATAAACATCACACACACGAAAATGAAGGTAGTTTAAATCATGTAAATTTGTATAAAGTTACACGTTTCCTCTTCAGCTGTATGCCATGTGCTCAGCGTTTCTTCCTTTAAAGTTACATTTGCATTCACAGACACATTACATGCAAATTGTACAGTCTTTCTTTTGAAGGAACACAAATGTGTTTTAACTTTTTACCTTAAAAGGAAGCTTGTTTTCCTTGTATATTTTACATAATACACGTGTGTTACATGTTTTTTTCTACGCATTTCCAGGGCAGGCACCGTACACACATTGGGTACAGAGGCATGTCACACTTGCATTGCTGTTTGCGTTTTACAGTTGGTTGGCCGGCAGGCATAGCTTCATTCACGCAGCGCTGCAGCTGGTAAGTCGTCACCAACTCCTTCCACACGCACACACACACTTAGTTTCTCTCTTGGTGTCTGAGTCCTTTGCATCACGCTCATGCTGAACAACACACCATATGCAACTTGGCACCAGTCTGTCCCGCCGTTGCAGAGGCGGCAACTAAGACCTCAGAGCAGGAGGACGGAGTCTAGGACTGGTCCAACAAGCTTTAAATATAGTAATTAAAGCTGTGCAGCAAGGCTCAGGGGCACATGCAGAGATGAGAAAAAACAATGCATTGGATATCGTTTAAATACAAGGAGGTTTGGTCAAGCCCAGGGTTGCAGACGGGTTGAATGAAAGGGAGGGAAAAACAGGAGTGGTACACATGGATATTCGGTGCTGAGTTTGTTAGATATATTTGTTTTTATCCAGGTTGGGTTTTTTTTTAAATCTTTTGTGCTTTTTTTTTTTAAATCATTTTCTGATATGTTGCTTTCTACAAATGCTTTGATGACACAGCTCAGGCTCTGAGTACTGAGCCCACTGCTGGTTGTTTGGTGAAACCATGGCGACGGGACAAACGCTACATGAGAGTCAGCCCTATGCATGGTACGAATACATGCAGAAGATGGCTTCTAATAGGTATTTGCTGTTTGTGCTCAGTGGTGTACTGTACATTTGTAAGTATTGCTTGTTGTAACTTTTTCCCCAGTAACGTGGATGTGAAGTGTAGGCTACAGCTACTTAGTCATTGTCATACTTTTGACAGGAAATTTTGCATATTTAAATGTATTTTAGTTACAAAATTACAAATTATCGGTTCAGTTGTTAACATTTTTTAAATGTTTTGATTGATTTAACCAGTAAACAGTTTTTAGGACTCGTAGAAAGGCGTAGGTTAGATTCATCGGTCTAATATCAAACAACAGTGTGAGACGATCACACGGACATGCACTAACACACACACACACACACACAAGCTCTGACGTGCAGCTTTTGCATCTCTTATGATCTGCTCCACCCTCCTGTCACCTCAACCAATCAGAAACCCTCTCTCCAGCTCAAGTGACTAAAGGAGTGATTGATGGGGTGCTTTAAAAAAAAAGGTACAGATCAGGTTAGGAAATCAGTGTGTTGATGAACGAGGAAGGTGTGTGGGGAAGACTCGTGTTCATGTAGGACACACGGGACATGTTCCAGTGGCCATCCTCTCATCCGTCCCTCTGAAGGGATGGGCAGCACACTGACTGCGCTTCAATATGTTGTCTTCAAATGATCTCTGTGTGTGTGTGTGTGAGACCAGGCTCAGTAAACGCACACTTCTAACACTGTAAACACATAAAAATAAATGAACACTCAGCACTTTTGCCCCCCTCCCATCTCAAACAACCCATATCTGCACCTCCCCTTCCATCCATCCTCCCACTGCAGCAGAATGCTAATTTCTTTTAGCGCCCCGCTGCGCCTGAAACCCATCAGCTGAGCTCTGCTGTGGGAAAATGTAAGAACATAAAGGCTTGGGATGTTGGGGGAGGGGGCAAACAGGGGAAGAGAGTTTCAGATTTTGGTCTGAGGCCCCAACTACACTACTGTGGATATTTGAAGCTAATATTTTTCACTTGTTTCAGAAAAAAAAATACTCGGAAAGAGAATTATAGAAAAACCCACGCCAACCCAGTAAGTGGACTCTAACATCAAAATGCAAAGACAGAAGATCCTTTGCATTGATCCAAACTCTCATGTTTGACACCTTTGTTCCAATAAGAACTCTTTGCTGAACACAAAAGTTCAATGAACACATAAACAGGATAAATTTTACCAGATTTAGCACAACAACAAAAATCTGTAAAATCTAGTGATGCACCATAAATCGGCGTTAACATCAATATCAACCGATGCTTGAAATAAAAAACCGTATCGGTCCGATAAGTAAAACTGGGCTCATGTTAACCAAAGTTTACTTCTATCTAGTTATTGTTTGTGTATTAATTTTGGGAGGAGGTGGGGGTCAAGGGGTAATACTTTGGTCATGTGACAGTGAACGTTACCGTCTCAAAGCGTTAATGTGTGTATGTGTAAATATAGAATTGTAACACAGGTTATCAGCCAAAACAGCAATATTAATATGGGATATCAATATTGGTTAAAAATTTTATATCAGTGATCAGTAAAAAAAAAAAAAAGTTGTGGTTTTTAGGACAATTCACGTTCAAAATAAGTGTCCTCTTTTTTAAATCTACATTTTTGAAAAAAAAAATTGAATAATTTTTCTCACAATAGTACTGTTTGATATTGGGTTAGTGTTGCTGGGGTCCTCGTCTGCAGATAAAAAGAGCTGAAGAGGTGGAGGGGGCTGGGTTAGGGTCACAAAAAAGTAGGTTAATAAAGTTGAGAAAAAGATGAAATCTCAATTAAAAGGTAAAGTATAATACAAAAGTAACAGCAACAAAAGCAGAGTATAACAACATTAGTGGCTTTACAATGAATTAGTAAAAGTGTTACTCAAAGATGTTTCTAATGACATAAAATAAATAAGAGCTTTCAGAGGAAAAGGGATCCAGTTGTGGCTCTAAGTTGAAGGAGGATTTTTACTCTCTTTGTCCCTTCTTTCCCTCCATCTCCACCTCTCCATCCACCTCTCTCCCTGTCACCTCTCACTCCTCATTAAGCTGCAGGCGGTAGCGGCTATGGCGGATCTGGAAGAAGAGCCTCTCCAGCGGCGAGCGGCTCATCCCGGGTAGCCTGTAGTCCTCGCTCTGGCCCGTCCTGTGGAAGCCCAGCGACTCATACAGCTTGTGGGCGGCCAGCTTGACGGCGGTGGTTCCGAGCACCACGGCGGCGTAATTGTTGCGCACGGCGTACTCCAGAACCCGACGACCCAGGGCCTTGGCAATGCCTTTACCGCGGTAGCGAGAGTCCACCGACATACGCCGCAGCTCCACGGTGTTGTCCTCCTCGTGACCCTGAGCTGCCACAATGCCAACCACTCTTCCGTCAAGGACTGCCACCCAGAAACAGGAGCCTGACAGAAAGGAGACATTTTTGATCACATTAGCTTTGGTTACAACATCAAACAACTGTGATATTTAGGGTCCAGCAGCAGCAGCCAGTCCCAGTGTGTAATTTATGTTTGAAACAGGAAGAAGCTTTATGTCAATCAAAGATACTTTATTAATCCCAGAGGGAAATTACAGTTTCAGTACACACAAGTTAGAGATCAGACATACATGGGCAAGACACATGACAAGAATTGGTGACTGTGGTCATTCGCAACCTTAATAGAGATAAGAGGGTTACATGAGGGTTGGTTCAGGTGGAGGGAAAAAAAGCACTTCAGAGCTACCCTCCACAGGGAGGGCAGCTTTGCTCTGCAAAAAAACACCTCAGACAGATATGCAACAGACTTCAGACAACACAACATAAGTGTCCACTAGGTGGGTTGGGACTATCCCCACTTCAGTTCCTGCAGCCACGATAAGCAGCGCATGTCACCTCAGTGTGGATAGGGGGGGGAGCATTGAGGGTTGGAGAGTTGCAGTGACCCTGGAACATTTCAGCGGCCTTCCCGCAGTCCCGCCCAGGCTGGGATAGGAGACAGAGTTGAGTTGCCATAGCGACGGCATATTCCACATATCTTCTGAGGGGGGAGTTTTCGTTGGAGCCTTGCAGGCTCAAGGGTGCCAGATTCCGATTAGAAATTGTTTTGGGGCCAGACAGAGATAATTTCCTCTCTGTCTTACAGTTTGTTGGTCCTCAACCTCTCAAAATCCCAATAATGGACATTAAACTATCCCAATCCGTGCTGATTCATCCACTCTATCCTTGATGGCATCCATCTTTTGTGCCAATGAATGAATCTCGGCCAATGTCCCAAGCGTACGATTCATCTCGACACTTATGTGAGTCTGTGAATTCACAGCGTGGTGCAAACCATCTCTGAACTCCGGGATCAGGCCAATATTCCTCGACAGCTCGTTAATTTTCCGGTAAGCCAGGTAGCCCCCAATGCCGATCAGTAGCAAACCCAACACCAACACCACAAATATCCACACATCTTCAGAGTCCCCCACAGACAGCTGGTCTGTCCCGGAGGGGCATCCGGGAGCCCCTTCTCTCGTTCTCATCGTTGAAAAAATTTGCTCAATTACTAAAACTGTTTGTAAGAAGATTGTGTCATTCCAGCTGGGGTTGTGGTGAAATGACCTTTTCTGGCTGAAGCTTAAAACATGAGAAGTGATTAAAGTTTGTCGTTTACTGATAACTAAAAAATGATTTTTGTGTAGAATATATCTAAGGTCCAATGAAACAAAGACACCCCCCTTTTCTCCCCAAGAATCCAGACTTTCTTGTTAAGTGGTCTTTTTAAAGGTCTTTAAAGGTTTTTCTTTGAACTTCGGCTGTTTTGTTATACATTACTTGAAATTTAGTTGTTTGTTTATGAAGACACATAAAGTCTCACCTATGAATCATTCGTGTATAGAAAAGCTCATGAACTCAAGGAAAGAATGAGTGTTGTCATGTGGACACAACAGAAAACTTAAAAAACCTTGAGTTGCATCTTTGGGTACTTTCTAAATAGCAACCTGCCATAAAAACACGATTTGTTCAGATTTATTTAGTTGATGCAAGGAAAAGTGCTGCCGATAAAAACAGAATTTTGGTATCAAAAAGCTGATTATCACAAAGCTGAAAACCTGACTTGTCTTTTGTTTTACACTTTCTTCATTTTTTGGTAGCACTTCCTTTTACAGTCCCCTAATTACTAAGTACTTACATGGTAACTACATAGTAAGTTAAAGTGTATTGTTTTTTCTAAGTTCTTAAACAGTAATTGCCATGTAACTCAGGTTCAATTCTAGTTTTTACTTGTATTAATCATTCTCATTTAAGACTGCATTACACAATAATTACACTTCATTTCAATTATACACTTTAATTACACAATAATACACTTTAACTTACCAAGTTGATACCATGTAAGTACTTACAAATTAGGGGACTGTAGAAGGAAGCGTTGCCCATTTTTCAAGCATTAACAGCACTTTGATGCTGTTTTGATGGAAGAACTGAATGCAAGAAATTTTTAAGACAACCAAAGTCCAAAGGATAACCTTCTGAATACCCAGATTGAAAACCTACTTTAAAAGATTTCAGTAAAGTTTGGCTACTTGGCAATAAAATACATAAAGAGGTAGTTTATAACCTATATTATATTAGGGCCGAGACTTTAACACGTTAATTATGAATAATTCATTAGAAAAAAATGACGCGTTAAAAAAAATTAACGCATTTAATCTCAGCTTGCATTTCGAGCAAGGCGAAACCTTTGTTATTGCACGATTTCCTCGTAGACCGAATATCACTGACGCACACAACAATGCACAGTGCTAATGGCTACTAAAACAGAATAAAAACAGAAAGAAGTTGCCTTGCTTGGACTGATGCAGGATTTAGGAAACACATCCGCCTCTTTTCTTAACTTGGAAAAAAAAAGCTTCCAGACAACAACGGAGTCAGTGTCGTGGACATTTTTCAGAGATCGTCTCTGCTGCAGCTGCCCGGTGGCACCGGAAACGTTACAAAAGTTCCGGTAAGCTATATTTTTAACATTTACGTAACATCTGTGCAGCGCTGAAAGCATCAGACAGAATTAATTAATTTGCCCTAACAGTAGTTTATGAAAGTAGTCAAACGAGAGGCACTTGGCTGCCGCTGGGAGAACGCTCCGTGTTCTCACTACTCTGTAAACAATTACAGACAACATGTCTTAAAGTTGAAAACAGAAGTTAAAGTTAAAACAGAAACACTCTGAAACTTTTCTGATGATTTTCTAAACAATTCTGTCGGGGAATTCTATGTTTCTGAGACGAGTCTCTGTCTAAACATCATCGCATGCATTACTATCATTAAGCAGCGAGGTGTGTTGAAGCTGTCATCAGCTGAGGGGTGGATGCTTAAGTGCATCAGGGGCAGCGAGGAACGAGGAAGTTGTGATCAGGCTGGAGATCACACCAGATTCACTGCTGCAGGCGTGAATCTGCGGGTCTGCAGCATCCCCTTCTTAATGTGACAGCAGGACTTCCCATGTAAGGAAGGTCCGCTCACCTGTTTGTCAGATCATTATTTCCTCGCCATGATCTTTTATTTTCCCATCATCCTCCAGTCGTCCAACTGGAACCAGTTAGTATTCCTGAGCATTCTCAGAATATGTCATGCCTGCTCTGGTGTTAAAAGTTAGTACATTTAAGTCCTAGATCATATTTGTGCCTGTTCTACTGTCATTTTGAAGGATTGTTATTTATATGTGTTTTTACTACATTATGAGTAGAAATGTTAATAAAAACTCCCAATTATACAAACAAGTGAAACTGGAAAAATTCAAATCTGGTGCAAAGTCAGATTTATTTCAGTCATTCAACTAGACAGAGAGACTATTTAAAGGCTCAGGAACCCTTTGCAGGTGTTTTCTATTTGTAATTATAAATTTTAGTTGATTTGGGTTTTGTTTCATGTCACACAGTGACATTTGAATGATTAAAATGCATTTTTTATTACAAGCTTTAGTTTACAGTAATAACCATGTCTAATGTTTGATTCTCTGTCTCATAATTTTAATTAAAAGTTTTGCTTTGAGAGCACATTTTCCTGAACGATTAAAATGTGATTAATTTAGATTAATTAATTACAAAGCCTCTAATTAATTAGATTAAAGTTTTTAATCAAGTCCCAGCCCTAATAATTATATATATATATAGTTATGCAATGAGAAGGGGGGATACACATCCATGAATCCCTCCTGACCATCTCTCTGAGTTGAACTTATGCCAGGATAGAGCTCTCCTTCTTTGGTTTTCAGCAGAGGTGTGGACTCGAGTCACATGACTTGGACTCGAGTCATTATTTTTATGACTTCTGACTTTACTTGATAAAATCTATAAAGACTTATGACTTGACTTGGACTTGAACGCCAATGACTTGCGACTTGAATCGACTTTCATCTGTTGACTTGAGCATATTTGATATTTTAGCACAAAAGTGACACGACATGGACAAAAATCATAAACCATTCTTCGTTACACCACTTTGTTTATAATCAGTTTCAGCTGCACTTTCTGCTTGTTTGAATAAATAAACGAAGCTTTAAGAAGATTTAATTCTGGAATTTATTTATTATCATCGTCATTAAATTGAAGTTGGACAGATGACTTGATTATGACTTGAAAATTCAAAGTTAAGGACTTGAACTTGACTTCCACACCATTGACTTTAGACTCGACTTGGACTTGGTTGTCTTTGACTTGGAATTGACTAGAGACTTGACTGGAAAGACTTGTGACTTGCTTGTGACTTGCAAAGCAGTGATTTGGTCACACCTCTGGTTTTCAGACTGTTCAAGTAACTTAACACCGTGTCACAAAAATCTCCAACAGATAAAAAATAAACCAGCAAAAGTTTTCTGTTTCATTCTCAAACTGCTGTTTAAAAACTAGATTTAAAAGAATAAGTTGGCCATGAAGCTTTTTGATGTCATTTAGGAAATGTCACATCTGCCTCGGCTGTTACTAAAGTAGCATTTCAGGTGAAGAGGGTACACTCCACACACACACTGCAGAAGGCCCAAAGTGATTCAAAATAAAGGGTGCTTTTGCAACTTTTATGTAATTCTGCTTTTAGCTGTGCTTAGATCCAATAACACACAAGAAAAACCATTCTGCTAAATAGAAATAGCTTGATGGCTTTCCTTAGTCCTCACCGGATTTTCTCTGGTGTCTCTGAAGGTCTGAAGTTGGTAACTTTTGGCTGTGTGTATTGGCAGGAATGTGGAAATACAATACAAACCTCAGTACAGGGGAGACAATACAATATATCAAAATGCTGGGGATATGATATAAACAGTGGGGCAACAATGTATTTAGTCTGCCACCAATTGTGCAAGTTGTCCCATTTAAAAAGACGAGAAAGGCCTGCAGTTTTAAGTATCTGGTCTCCTACAAACAAGCAACATTTCCTTCCTGTAACTTC